ATCGCCAGTCTCAGTCTTGGTCCGTCAAACACTCAATGGGTCGGGGTCTGTAACAGAGGCAAACCTTAGTAACGAGAACGTGTGTATCTGTTTTCTTTTTGTTTTGCACTGTTGCTAAGGGGAAAGCTGGTACTCTTTAACATTATAGCAGCTTGCTTAACCCCCACTTACCCAGGCCCATGGCCACTCACACACAGAAGAATCCCTCCTCCATTTTGCCCTGGGCAAGACAGTGAGGCATTTGGTTCAGGCCACAGCCTGCACAGCTGCCTGAGGTCCTGTCTGGCCGCCACATGACAGCTTTTAATCAGTGACTTATGACACAGAACTCACCAGACCTCAGTGTGACGCTCAAGCACTTCGTCAGTGGTCTCATTGTCATATGTGAATTTTAAACTTATAGACACCATATAGGTTCAATTTGAAAAGATGCTCTACATAATACAATGTTTTATATTTTATATATTATTTCCAGGCTCTAAAAGCAAGGATCTAATGGCCGTCATTGTTTCCTGATTGAAATTAATGACGGCTGTGTCAAAATAGTGTGAAATCTTGGGGACAATAAGCATGTACGTTTATGTCTGTGAGTCACAAAAGTCTTTGCAGTCATTCCCTGTGTAAATATGCTTTAGTGCCAGATGATCTTCCAGGGTCTTGCTTGTTTGTACCTGACGTGTCGTTCTGCTTGTCTGCCCAGCATGACACCCTGTAGCCCAGGATCAGCTCTTGGAGGATCAAAAGACCTTGGTGATTCTTATCAGATAATATTCTTGTTCGCCTTCCCTCCCCTACACTGTTGACCTGAACCATGCACACTGTTCGGGTCCTTATGGCCCTTTGGCCTTTCCTTTTCTTATCAGCGTGATGGTCGGGCCGTGATAAGGCTGGTCCAGCCTGAGGACAGAGGGAGGGTGCAGTCCACTCTTCTAAACCTTCAGCACAGTTGCATAACTGGGACACTTCAGGGGAGTAGAGAGGTTATCTCCCCTCTGTGCACCTAGTGTGTTTTACGCACTTGCAAAAGGACCCAAGTGACATGTCTGTCACCGTGCAAATTTTATTGAGCATAAATGTATTTCTGCAAAGGCCATGCAGCAGTTTCACTTTTTAATGAATGGTTAGCCATGCAAACACAGGTATTCACCTTTAAGCACTATTTCTTCCGGATCGCCGTTCGCCTCAGTTCAAAATGTTTGAAGGCTGTTACCTTTTTGACACGTAATAACATCTGTCACTGCATGACATACTTTTATGAGTCTGCTGCTCAGGCAGACAGACAGGGAGGACCGGTGTCCAAAGTCACGACCCTGCCCTGACCTGGATGAAGGAAATGGTCACACTGCTCGAGACAAAGCAGGGCAAAGGAGAGTCTGAGGGGCTGGCTGGTCAGCCTAAAACAATTGGTCTGTGCTCAAAGACCACAGTCACCACAAAGGCCAGAGAACCCCCCACCTTTCCCTCTCCCACATTGCAATAGAGCAGGCATTTCACACTGGCCTGTGAACAGCCATTCAATCAAACTACTGTTTAACCTGACCTCTGACCTACACAGAAATCAAGATGAGTCTGGCGGGATGTATTTAGGCAAGTGACCCTACTGACCCTACACAGAACCAGCCGCCATTTACCACACAACAATATCACCCTGCGTCCCTCACCTTAGCTATTTTTCTATTTAATGTCAGTTTGTATGTATCCCGTTGTGTAATTACTGCTCCTAAAGATTCATCCATGACCATCTAATCAATAGTCTCCACAATAAATAATGTGTCCAGTAATGGATGGAAGGAGCAATGGCTCCCCAGGGAACAAGAGACACAACCAGACCCTTCGTCTGGGTCAACTACCCTGAAGCCGGGGCTGAGAAGAGAAGCAACCACATGACCCTCTCCTTTCTCAATGGACTGCTCCTCCCTTTTACCTGTACACGACTCGGATCAAGGTGTGGGGGCTGCATATCAAACAGACTGGGGCCTTTGATGTGGATGGAAACACAAACACTGATTTGAGCAGAGTCGTAACAGCTTATTTGTTCCCTTTAGTCATTCATTGAGCTCTTGTTGAATGTGTATGTCTTCAAAGGGCTGCTGCATGCACCAGTGGTACAGTAGCCAAGGAGGCTGTGAGAGGACCCTGGTCTAGGGTGGGTTGTGGGAAGGCCATCTGGCTTCCTGTTCCTTTAGATTTGATATTGATTTATTGGCTGTACATGGGAAGATAAGGGGACACCAGCTGCCAGAAGTTTTCCTTTTGCATCCTCACAAACAATGGGCCTCCTGCTCCTCCACATCCTGAGATAATGCAGAACTCCTTTTTTTAACTAAGAAAAAAAGTGAATGAAAAAGACAAATGAATAAAATTGTTAAATTAAAATGAAATTAGACAAATGCAAAAATGTGTGAATACCTTTTGATTTTCAAAGAGCACCACCAGAATGAACTAGACATATGATAATATAATTTACACATTACCTGGATCAGTACTTTTACAACTATTTAGTGAACCCTTAATTCCTTCTGGCTGCACAGCCATTGCTGATTTTACACTCTGCGTAATACACTTTATAACAGTTACTGCCCTGTAGCCTTGTGATAAGACTTGTCTCTATGCTCTGATGAAGACAGTTCCCATTAATGAGGTGCAAAATTGCATTTATTATTCCTAACAAACCCTGACAATGACAACCTCTCACAGTTAAACACATCAGAGAAACCATTAATACAAAATTAGTCTTCCATGAATAACAAATCTCCTGTTCTGTGAAGTGAGCCGGGGAGGGAAGCAGTTTGGCCTGAGTCTTGTTGAGGTGTCAACATGGTGCTACAGTGAAATGTACATATGCCTGAGTTTTCTCACCCTTTGAAAAAGACCCACTCTCTCTCTCCTTTTTTCTCTCTCTCTCTCTCTCACTCACACATACAGACCCAGACATTAGTGTCACCCATCGAGGCCTTCTCCCCTGCCCCCAACACATCCTTTTCTTTCCCTTCCCCTCCCCTGCCAACACAAGCCTGTGATGTAGCTGTCTCGGATAATGAGGTGAGAATTTTATTGCTGCCGTCTATGAGCCTGGCACCAGTCTGTGAGGCCACAACCTCAGGCCTCTGGTATCAGGTGCCCTCTGTTGACCATCCCGAGCTGAGGACAGATCCTCAGACTGCTCTCCTGGTTCCTGCAGCAATGCACTTCAAAGTGGGAGATCAATGGATGACTTGCGCATGACATCCAGGGAATGACAATGGCTGAGCCAGCCTACACCTACTGCTACGTGCTCTGTGCCTGAGACACAAAGGCCCACAGTCTGCTCCCGCACTACTTCTCTACACGGAGGAAGTTCTCATTCAGGAGGGGGCTATGCATACAGGAAGAAGGCAGTGCTCTATCTGTATTCTGGAGTGACAATGTGAGAGATAGAGGAAGGGCAGCAAGGTGAGGGGCTGGCAGTGGTGTCCTGTTTGATTGCTGAAGCATTAATTGATAAGCTGCAGCACAAGTCTACGTCACACCACTTATCTTTAAAGAGAGCTTTTCTTTTATCTTGTTCGTTACAAACTGCACTCAAACGAGAGTGAGATCAAAGTATCTTCTGAAGAATCTCTCAGTCATCTGTAAATTATGGTTTTTATCAATTTTATCCTGTCTTTTATAAATGAATTAATTTTGTCAAATAAAGAGATTAATGGTTAATGCATGTGTGGAACGCCCAGGGATCTATGTTTTATGCTGACCACAATGTCACAGAAATGATCTGTCAACACAATCATTTTGTCAGTGTTAGAACTTGAAGGTGAAAGCCAGAATCCCACTCTCACAGGAGGAAACTCATTGTAATCAGGCTGTCATTTCCTCTGTGCTGCTCTGTTGTCCCACAAACCCTTTGTGAAGAAGCCAAGTGGTCCACCACAGACAGAAGGTGGGCTCCTGGCATGCATCTGAGGTTGTTAGCCCGGCAGGGGAGGTAGGCCCTCATGGCAGACCAAGACAAGGAGTAAACAAACATGATGCCGAATTAAGACATAGTATCAGATCCCTGCTGACAGATACACTTCAGGCCTGATTTATTTTCTGAGAGTGATTACTTCGCTCAGTGGTACAGAAAGCTGTCACACTGTCATGAGACAAGACTGAATAATAACACACTTAGTTAACTTACTTAAAATGTATTTTATACTTTTCCTTATCTGTTATACTAACAATCACCCAAAATAATGCGTTCACAACAATGCATGCCAGTTTCTTTTTACATCACTGCATACACATGATAATTACCTCAGCGTAGTTAGCGTCAGATCAAGTCAAAATGTTGGACAATGTCACCACCTACCGGCCGAATGGTGCCATTTTCAGAAAATCATGTACAGAATTTAATATTTGTAACTCTAAGGTCAGAGGTCAGGTACACTAAAGGAATTCTTAGTGTACTTCAGTTATTTTTCAGTTAATATTTTCTAATATATAGATAAAATGCTTGGCTACAAAAACATATCCTATGCAATACGAAGTAATTTTCACCTCTATTTAAAGCAATAAATAAACATTATAAGCATAATCTTTTTAAGGTCAATGCTAAGGTAAACCTAGGAAATTAAACTTAAACACAATATATTAAATACAAGTGTTTTGTAGGAATAGCAGAAATATTAAATTTCTCCCAGAAATTACATCTACAAAAATAAAAGCTTATCTTTGACATTTCTTTACAAAGGTTATGAAACTAGTCCAAAAATCTTTTATGAATGCTTTGGTAACGTTTGGTATGACGTTTTGGTAGTTTTATTTATCTATTTGTATATTTGCTTTTTGATATACAGTATTAGTACAATATACAGTGAAGTAAATTTCCATTTTTGTAAATTCTTATCTCTTTATAAGAGTCATTAAATCTTAAATCTTATAATGAGATGTTGGTTTATAAGAGGTGTTGTTTTTTGTTTGTTTTTTGTGACGACGATGGCTGTGCAGGCTTTCAGGGGTTGTCGCATAGCGCCCTCTGGTGTTAGAGGGAAGTGTTTTTAGTTCGTCCCTGTGACGTTAGTTTGTTACAGCTGGCTAGGACAGGAGACGGATTCCCCGCGCTACCTATATTTAGATGCCTGGTCCAGACAAACAAACCCTGGCCTCGCCCCGGTTGAAAAAGCTGATTTAAATCTTTCAGGAGGGAATAGTGATGGCTTCAGTGAAAAAAGATAACAGACTGACTGGCTCTCAAAGCTTCGTGTGTGCGGGTTTCGCCGGTTTTTTCAGTAGAACTGTCACGTCTCCTTTAGAGGTGGTTAAGATTAAAAGTCAAGTGGGAACTTTTCACAGCAAGAAAGGATTTGTTCAGAGTTTTCTCCTAATCTACCAGAATGAGGGACTTCGAGGATTCTGGAAAGGAAATATCGCCTCTTGTCTACGTTTGTTTCCTTACAACGCAGTTCATCTGACAACATATAAAAAGTGAGTCTGTCTCTAAACTATTTCTTTTTTGTGTTAATTTGCATCAAGTAAATCATGCATTCATCACATGGTTCTCATTGCTGTAATACAATGTCATTAGTGTGCTGCCAAGAATGGGGTGACGTTGGCTAGAGTTTGTGGTTAAAAGGAGAAACGACGTTTTTCATATACACTGAGGTGTGAGGCGTGAACGTGACGTCGAGTTTTGTTGTAATATTATGTACTTATGTACTGACTGTTTATTTTTTGTCTTGTCCAACGAATTGTCAACTTCCCGTTTTAACCATTATTTTGGTGCACGAGGCGGGCGAACCACCTTTTTTAGCCAATCCGAGACCTGCTTTTTGCTCAGTCGATCTGTTGAAGGGAGAGAGTTAAGTTGTCCCTAAATTTTGTCTTAGAGGTGGTCTTAACTTCTCGACGTTCATCGTTCATCTTCTGTTGAAGAATTATAGTAAAGTTTATGGTCCACCAGCTGAGAAGGAACTATATCTAGGAATTCAAACTAACTTTTTCCTTTTTTATCACTAGACTTAAACATCTATTGAGGCAAGTTATTTATGTATTTAATGGGAAGTACTGCCTACAAGACAAAACCGATGGGACAAAATTACCTCTCACGGGGTTATTACCGGGCAAAACACCGCAGTACAAAACATAAACGGGAAGCAATGTCATTAAGAGGATTAATCCATATCTGATTCGTAAATACGTGAAGTACTGTATCCAGATTAGTTAAAAGGTGACCGTGTGACGGTACTCTTGTCTTGTAATGACACATGTCAATGATAACACACGGTCTCAGCCTGTGTTTCTGTTCAGTACACTGTGTTCCAGGAACAGAAAGTCCCTCACTGTTTTTGTCACATGCACGGCCAGTTGTTTTGGAGAAGTGTACTCTACATACATCATAGAAAAAACACACAGGTCGATCAACCTGGACTCTTCCCTGTTAATACAGTAAACTGGCTGTAATAAAAGAAAAGAAAAAAAAACACAAATACTTCTTTGTATATTTTGAGCTGAGAGATAATTGTTTCAAAAGTTAAGCCTAATTCGGCATGATCTCATGTTGTTTCAAAATGTAATGTTTCTTGCACATGTACTGTACTGGTCATTAATGATACTTTCATGTTTGCAGAGCATGGATTTGAGAGTAAAATACAGTTAAATGCTGAACTTTTAAATTATAAAATACAATGGAAATGTTAAGCAAGTAATCAGGTACTGATTACAATACTCTCTTACTGTGTTTTCAACATTAACCTGCAAATGATAAATAGATACGTTTTTTCTATTACTGAAGCCTAAATATCCATGCAAATTCACCACTAGATGTAGCCAAATCCCACTGTTTCTTTATAATAATAATAATAAAAAGAAAGACAACAATTGTCACATTATATATCTATTGATAATATTAATTCATAAGTTGCCCTCCTTGCGTTGCAGGATCGTCCACCTCCACATGGATGAACTGGGTTTTATCTCCCAGTGGAGGGCAATATTAGCTGGTGGCCTGGCCGGGGTTGCTGCAGCTCTGGCCACATACCCTCTGGAGGTGGTGGAGACCAGGCTCATCGCTCAAAACTGCAGACAGCCCACATACATAGGAGTAGTTTACACCCTGTCAAAGATTTACAGGAGTGAAGGCACTCTAGCCCTTTACAGAGGCTTTTCTCTCACTGTCTTAGGTGTGTGTGTAAATATAAATACAAGTGATTACTTTCAGAGAACATATTTTTTTCTTGCTTTTCTCCCCATAGTTGCTTTACACCTTTCATTAACTATACATTTTCACATTTAACAACAGGTGCGTTTCCCTTCTCTGCTGGATGCTATGCTGTTTACATGAACTTAGATAAGATCTGGCAGGAGCCTCCGTTTCGCTTTACTCCTCTGCAGAACTTTATTAACGGCTGTTTGGCTGCAGGAGTGGCTCAGACGCTCTCATACCCCTTTGAAACTGTGAAAAGGAAAATGCAGGTGAGTTAAATGAATACGTTGTCCTTTTATTCCATATGTGTTATTTTCATCATCCAGTAGTCTGACTCTTATTTTACAATAAATAGTTTTCTAACTGCCTCTTCAAGCCAAAATGTCTTGAATCCTAGCAATTTAATTTAATGTATACAGTATTAGACTTTTGCGCGCCACAAGGGGGCAGTGCACTTCCCCTTTACAGACGTTTCTTAATTGGTCACTTAACACTTTCAACAAGGATTGTACTAAATGATTTATCAGCTTTGCTTTACAATCAAACTATTTTTAGAATAGTAAAGTCGGGCGATTTTATTATTTGTTTTTGTGAAAGGACAACATGTTCATCATCATCTGGTCCCTTTAAAGTTCAAACACAGATGTCTCAATGTTAGAAAGGACGCACTGGGAACAATACTACTGCAGAGGACAGAAATCTACTTCCGGTTTTATCGGCCTATTATTAGATACCACAAGGTTCAACAGCAGCTGGGAATGTGAATGTGTCCCAGGTCTGTAGAAGCTATAGATAAGTTAGTGAGGGGCTAAAGATAGACCCTCACTATCAGACAGTGGCTGAGCTGCAAGGTTTTTATCCATGCTGTTCATCAAATGGTCACAAGTGTGTCACTTTATTATTGTCAGTTGATTTATTTTACTGTTTAATTAGAATTAACAGACTGTAAGTTTAGCATGTTTGTCAAACATGTTAAAGTTCAACCGTCAGAGAATGAGTAACTGCTGATGTTTGTTGAGGCTTAGGATAATGGTTCAAGATGAGTTTTGATTAACTCAGCAGCTAGCTCAGTTCCTCCACAATAAATGGAGCCGTGTAGATAGCATTACACCATCGTGGCACCACCCTTGAAGCTAGCATTACACCATCGTGGCACCACCCTCCCTGTGGGACCTTGAAGCTTTCAAAGAGACGTTCCTCTGTCACATGACAGTCATCATGAGAAGAGCGAGCTGTCCGTGCTTTCAACTCAGGACACAGCCCAGACACAGTGTGACTGCTTGTATTTCCATATTTTACACTTGATTTATTTGTATCTTATCACATGCTACATCTGAAAGTGCTGTAAGGCGTCGCATATGTAACAGCATCAGTGAACAAGTCATTTTTAAAGTTTTTCTTTGTTTTTCAGGTTCATTTATTATTGATGAGTCACCCTAATGTTTATAGCACCGACAGTCTGGCAACTAAACTTTATTAACATAACAAAAAAAACCCAATATTGTTCTTTATTTTTATATATCACTATAATATATGGCTTAGAGTACTGTATTGTTGCTATTTGTTTAAAATGATTTGTACTATTTCTGTCATTTTTATTTGATTGTCCTTTAATGTATTTTTATATCATATTTTTCATGATTAATGTCATCATAAATATTTTCTAGGATTTCTAATCAGGTGCTACTACGTCAGCAGGTGCTGACCACAGATCAGTAGACAACTGTTAGACCTCAGCTTTTTTACTCATGTCATCCTTTGTGGTCTGCTCTAATGAAACTCATGACACTTTCTTGCTGCTCTCAGGCACAGAGTTCCCGTCTGCCTCATTTTGGCGGAGTGGACGTCCATTTCAATGGGATGATTGATTGTTTCATTCAGGTGGTCAAAAACAAAGGCGTGCTGTCGTTATGGAATGGTCTCACAGCCAACATGATAAAGGTACGCTGTCACCTGAGGATGAAGTGTTTCATGAACTTGTAATTCAAGCCTTTTGTCTGTCGTCCACATGACCAGAGGAGTGGTCAACGTTGTCCTGTAAGACACTGAGCTAACAGTCACTAAAATAACTACACGTGCTTTGAAACACGAGTGTGTGTGTGACGTTGACTGGACTGTAGCCCTCGCAAAAGGGTAAGTGAACATGGGGGCGGGCCATGGAAAGCAATGTTCCGTGTCTGTGGCATAACAGAAATGTGCTAACCATGAAATACACACACACACACACACACACACACACACTAGCTATAGTAGAGGGAGTGAGTGACAGTGGCTACAGAGGTTTACTGTAATTTTGTCAGAACTCCGATTTTCAAAACCTCCAGTGTTTAACCAGGTTAATCAAACTACACACATCAGCTTTATCTAACTGATCTTTTTAACAATCCTTTGACATATTATTGACAGATAAATCAAAGCTTTTAACTGACATGGTTAAGGTCTCAATGACTGTCATCTCTTTCCAGATCGTGCCCTGCTTTGGTCTCCTTTTTACCTGCTTCGAGATGTGTAAGCAGGTTTGTCTGTACCGTAATGGCTACATCATCTCTCCGCTGAGCCACCAGCTCACACCAGGTGTGGACCAGAGCCTGGGTCCGTACGAGCTACAGGAAGTCAAACGGTACCTAAAGAACGGGAACTTTGACTCGGGCCAGTCGTCAATTGGGAACCGATGGTGAAACTTCATTTTTGACTGAAATGTTGTATTAACGAGACATGGATTATATTTTGGGTTAATGTCTTCTTTATTAAAATGCATTTCGACGTCACGGTATAACCCCTCAGCACCTCTACCTCTACAGCTATAAGAATCATATCATGTTCACTCGCACATTATGTGATTCCCTGAGTATTTTTAACAACACATGCCACTCAGTATGTGCCTTATTAAATATTTATTTTGTCTCTCATTGTTTAAATGACATAAATTAGTGCCATAGTTTATTCACACGGTTCAAAAGGCTCTTTTTTTTCTTGTAAATTACAATGTTAGAACTGTGACTGTATGCTGTTCTTTGTATGATTATATTTTTACCTTAAATTATGAATGAGATATGAACACTTGTTGTTACCTTTGTAATGAAATGTCCTTTCAGCAGTAAAGTTTTTTTCCACACATTTGTTCCATTCTTTGAAAACTGATACTGATATGCAGAACATACTAATAAATCATGCACCATGATAGTGTTTAGCACCATTAACGTCTGCATTGTATATCACAGCATGATAGTAATAGAAGTATTAAAGTTTCAGTAGTAAGTAGTAGTAAGTGTAGGCAGTGGAGTTATTGATCTCTGCTACAGTAAATTCTACCAGTCAGATTGACTGTGCAGGTTATGTCTGATTTAAGAGAAGGCCTTTTCTGCCTTCTTTATTTATAAATAAAGAAAAAGCTGCACCTGTCACACTGTGGATGGTGGTGAGTGCTCCTACTTTACATCACAAACGTCACCCACAATAACTGCTTGAAGTTTGCATACTCTACCTTTGTTTGTTACTTTTCTTATAGCTAATTATTATTTTAAATAATATTCACATAACAATGTAAAAAAAGTAAACTCAAAATATGAGCTTCAAAGACAATGAAAAAGTGTATGAAAATGTATTCAAAAATATATATGTCAAAAATTCTGATGACATAAGAGTTAGGGTTTTTAAAAGGCAGAGTGACAACCAAAGGATGTTAACAGGTGGGATGACCTTTCACCACAGAAGCCTTTCAGGCCTCAGCTGCTTCATGTGACCTTTGACATGACCTTAAGTCAATAAATTAGAGACCACCATTTAAATATATATCCAGTTATCCTTAAAACGTGAAACAGTGTTTTGGCCTAAACTATCGACCAACATGGTGTGAGTTTAAAAAAAAAACTCCTCCATATTAACTCTGTTTATAGGTCAGGTTCCGCTCCGCCTGGAGACAGTGATGAGGGACAAAATCCCATCCAGTGTGACACGAAGGGCACGCGATTGTGTCCCCGTGTCTGACCAATCAGAGAGCAGAGCCGCCAGTTCACGTTTTCTCTCGCGCTCTTCTCTCCTTAAATCCACTGACTTTGAGATTGGACTCGGCCATTTCCACTCCACCTACCGAACCCCAGCAGTACCGAGCAGCGGGAGGACAGGCAGCTGACAGAACCTGAAGATGACCGACCAGGCTATTTCATTCGCTAAGGACTTCCTGGCAGGAGGTACCGCTGCTGCCATCTCCAAAACAGCTGTAGCTCCCATCGAGAGAGTCAAGCTCCTGCTGCAGGTCAGTTCATACTCTTCATCACTCCAGAGCTGTTTTGTTTAAATTATTATTTCCAAACCCTGGTGATTTAAAACGCTCATGTTCGGAAATGAGCTAGCATACACATATTTGGAGCCTTTTTGTTGCATTTCTGATGCACAGCGTCACACGTTAATAAGATTTAATGAGATGCTGACGCCACTGCACTGAGGTAAAGATGGTGCATTGTAAAAAAAAAAAGAAAAAAAAAGTGACGTCTATAAATAATGAGTGAGAGTAGAGAATGGTGCAGATAGGCATCAGACCCACTCTTACATAATCCACCAGGCTGCAGCAGCAACCCCTCAGCTCCCCCCACTCCCTCTAAGAAGAGGGGCAAAAAAGTCCAAGCACTCTGTCGTATAAGAGGAAAACTTGTCTATTCTCTGTGTTTCTGCTCTTCACTTGTGCTCATCTCTGGCGAGGGGTCTTAATTTGGCTGTGAAATTGAACAGGCAAGGTCACAGCAAGGTTTGCGACATGGCTGTCCAGTGCAGTGCTGCAGTGGGCCTGGGCTCAGCAGCTGCAGCAGCAGGAGGAGGAGGAGGAGGTGGAGGTGGTGGTGGCAGGGGTAGGGAAGGAGGAACAGGAGGAGGTGGGGGCTGTGAATTTTTGAATGGGTAACTTCACAGAGTTGTACCCTGACACTTGAATGGAAATGTGTCTGTCCAGACAGGACACGTTAGAACCATGTTACCACATGTGTCCTTGTGGTCAGTTAATGATGGAGTGGGAACACTGGTTGTCTCACTTCACCTGCTTCCAATAATAAATATGGGTGAAAGGTGAAGTACACACAGTACAGGTCAGCAGGTCATCACTGAACCACCTTCTTATTGGACAAGATTTATGCTGGTGTAAAAGTGATTCTCAGTGTCATTTATTCACAAATGTAACAAGTTCTACTAAAAAGATTCCAAGAGCTGTATGTCACCATACAGTCCTAGTGATTTTTTATGAGTTGACTAAAATAACTACACGTGTGTATGACATCTGTCATCTGCCGTGCAGCTCCTCTGTCCTCTCTCTACCACATTTGTTGGTCCAATAGTTTTTTGCAGTTTATGGTAAAGCCCCAATAAATATTCAAGGTTTCTCCTAAAATTATTTGAAATTGAAAATATAAGGAAAAATTCACACAAACAAACAAAACAAAAAGTACTAAGACAGTTAATTACAGCCACAAGGCATATGTGAATATGGGAATATGTGAAGGCATATGGGCACAGAGCTGGAAAAGATCAACATCTCCACTGATGCATGGTCCACTTTTTATTATGCAAGGAAGAAAGTGTTACAAGAGAGAAAGTACACAAAGTTTTTTTTTTCATAAGGTGGATGTGTTTGAGTCAAAGTTAACAGAAAAGTTGAGACTCCAGGGATTAAGTTAACACCTGAGTCACATAGAAAAGTTCAATTCCCTACAGTGTTCAGACTGTCTGAGTCACAAAGAAGTTTGAGTCGAGTCCCATGAGATCTCAGCTGTAGTTCCCAAGTTATTCCAGTGGAGGTTGTGTCAAGTCCCCGGGTTCTTGAGTCATTACTGCTCGAGTGACGGCAGGTTTAGAGTGAGACGACAGCTGTGGTAAACGCTCCGTCACATCAGGATTTGACGCCTCAGGTGGCGGTGACACGTTTATTGTCAATAGAACAGAAGCTTCCTCAGAGGTAACGTGGGGTAGCATGTCATGGTGGTGTTAAGGTCTCTGAAGAACTTGAATGTCCTCTGTTCTGTTTACAGGTCCAACATGCCAGCAAACAGATTTCTGTTGACATGCAGTACAAGGGCATCGTGGACTGTGTCGTCCGTATCCCCAAAGAGCAGGGCTTCCTCTCGTTCTGGAGGGGGAATCTGGCCAACGTCATCCGATACTTCCCCACTCAGGCCCTCAACTTTGCTTTCAAGGACAAGTACAAGAAGATCTTCCTGGATGGTGTGGACAAGCGAACACAGTTCTGGAGATACTTCGCAGGTAACCTGGCGTCCGGTGGTGCTGCCGGAGCCACCTCTCTGTGTTTCGTTTACCCCCTCGACTTCGCCCGAACACGTTTGGCAGCTGACGTAGGCAAAGCTGGCTCTGGGCGTGAGTTCAAAGGTCTCGGTGACTGCTTGGTGAGGATCACCAAGTCTGATGGCATCAGGGGTCTGTACCAGGGCTTCAGCGTTTCAGTACAGGGCATCATCATTTACAGAGCAGCTTACTTTGGCGTCTACGACACGGCTAAAGGTGAGGTCTCATTTGCCAACATTGGAACCTCTCACATCTGCTGATCAATATTTTATCTTTTATGAATACATTCCCTGTTTGAACTGCTCCCTGCAGGCATGCTTCCTGATCCTCAGAACACGCATATTGTTGTCAGCTGGATGATCGCTCAGTCTGTGACTGCTGTGGCTGGTCTTGTCTCTTACCCCTTTGACACCGTCCGTCGTCGTATGATGATGCAGTCTGGACGCAAAGGAGGTATTAAAACACAAATCTTCAACTTCCTGACCTTTTTTTGTTTTTATTGCTACAGGAAAATACATCTAACTTCTTTTGTATTCTCTGCTTCTTTTTATTTTTTATTTTAGCTGACATTATGTACAGCGGAACCCTTGACTGCTGGAGGAAGATTGCCCGTGACGAGGGCGGAAAGGCCTTCTTCAAGGGGGCCTTGTCTAATGTGCTGAGGGGCATGGGCGGTGCCTTTGTGCTCGTCTTATACGATGAGCTCAAGAAAGTTATCTAAGCATTTCTTTTATTTTTCTATGTTCACTGTTCATGTTGTGATGTTTTACTGTAACATATGTACATTTGGAAGGACTTGGAAGGACAGTGTTATATTTATAGGGACCAACTAGTATTTTTTTTACTAGTTGTACCAGGGGAATCAGTTCGGCACTCTTCTTGGCCCGTGCTTGTTCTTTTGTTTTGCGCCTCTTCTGAATGTCATTCCCTGAACACAGGAACCTGGAAATGGAAATAATTCAAAAAAGTTCAAATAAAGACAACCTACTGAGTGATCGCTGTCTGGTTCTGAAATGTGAGTGTGTTGTAGTCCTGTGTGTCAGGATAGCACCAGCACTTTGGTAGTCTCCTGTGTGAAATGTAAGCCTGGCGGTGCTGGTTGTGTTTGGGAAAAAGTTGATCCGCTGACAGTTTTTCATCTGAGATGTGCTTACCGTAGGTAGGGAGTTAGAAGCTTCACGAGCTTTTGATGTATTAATATTTTAGCAAAGTGTCCAACAGAGCTGCAACAAAAATGATCTGGAGAAGCTGCCGTAGGCAGGGAGGCTTTATGTGCAGCAGCACCTTTGACCTTGACTTGTTTATTATTGGTTGTGTGAGTTCTCAGGGGAAGATAGGTTGTGTATTTTAAGGGTGTCATAAATTGAATTCCTCCTGACATTTGATCTGATCAGCTCAAATGGTATTTAAACATAGGCCCAAAATAACTTCAAACTGGCTTTCAAAAACAGCCAAACAGTAATATATACAATTATTATAAAACATCCTGATATAATTCCAATTCCATAATACATACATATATCAAATTCAATTAAGTTATATAAACCATTGTAGCATTAATGCTCAAAGCTAAATGCCATTTAATAATGTTTTTCTTTTTTAATATATCTTGTCGAACATCTTTGTCTCTTTAATCACCGCGTTTGCATTTATTTTTAATGAAAGTGAATGGAAAGCAGTTAGTTAAGGATTTAAATCCCAGACCAGGTTTTCATTAATATACTTCTTGTGCTTTTTTTCCTCACAGTTTTTAGAGATTTAAAAATGTCCCCTTAGAGATGCTTCCACTTTAGACTTTCTCCTTTGATTTTGGGTTCCATAAAAGCCATTAATTTATTCACCTGCTACTCTCTAATCCCTTTTAGAAATGTGCAGGGAGCTGAAGACAATCCCAGCAGTTATAAAGTGGCTCCATCACATGGCTAACTATAAAGACATTACGTTTTTATAAGGTAAGGCATATACATTCAGTTAAGTAAGAGAAAAAAAAATCAATTTGTTACAGTGAGATTGATGTGGTTACCACAGTGTAAGACTCAGAGTCGCTCAAGGTACTAGAGACATAACTCTTCAATTAGCAACACCTAGATTAGACTGTTTCCCAGCTGGAAGCATAGTCTAAACCTTCAGTTAGTGATTTCAAAAGTGGATGTGATCCCTGACCTCTGGCAAATCTCTGGCTCAAGCTCTTTGCCTCCCTTTATCATATAAAGCCCCCTCTCAGTACGTCCCTCACAAAGAATGGCTTTAGAGCAGATTTAGGGTTGTTTATTTTCATCATTTACCAAATCTCATAAATTATTTTTGTCTATATTTCCATCTATTTATTCACTGTCCAAAACACAAATATTACAGGACGCTTTGATGGATCAGAGCAGGAAAAAAGTCAAAGAAAGGGAGAGAAATTTGACCAATGAAAGGGCAGGAAGTGACAGATACTATTGCCTGTGCTGCCAATAAACCTTAAACGGAATTGTTTTCAAATGGAGACAGAACGAAAAATCAATAAGACAGCTGTCAGTATTGTCAGCAAAAGTTCAGAGCCAAAGCGATTACAGTGGAACATCCGTCATTAGGCGTGTGAGACGAGAGGAGCTCAGGACAGCAACTCGTGATTTAAAAACTTGTCTGACGCTTGTCTTTCAAACGCACACATCTTCCAGTTTCTTGGGAGCCTAAAATGGTACTGCCCTCTGTAGAGTGAGTGATTACAGAGTGGTACTCGCACGACTGAGAGTGCGCATAAACACATGTAGGTCAAACAGTGACCGGGGCTGTTTTTCACCGTGCTCAGTTTAAGCCCTCTGTCAGATGGGCTGTTGCATAACCCCAGCTGTTAGACTGAATTATGTCACCCCTCCACTGTAAATGACCACAGTCCTTCAGGGAAAAAACAGATAAAGTCTGTAATAAACCATATATTTTAAGTTTAATCTGGAGCCTGTAAATGTTAAAGGAAGGTGCTTAAATAAAACGTCAACACTAAATGATACTGTTTAAAGGTAGTAAAAGGTTTAATGGTAAAACTGTAGCACCACCTTTATTTATTGCACACTTCTGTGGGCAAATTACTGGTACTGTATTACCATAGTTTTATTAATGCAATAACCTCCCTGTGCATGTGGAAGTCAGGCAGTGCAGAGCAGAGCGGGGCTGCACTAAACAGAAACAATATATTTCACATATACAGTATGTGTACATCACATACAGCTTATGTAGACAATTATCACGTGTAAATAAATGTTCTTGTGTACACGGAAATACTGTAGTTGACGGTTTAATTAATCATATCTACCGTACGACGTATTTTGTGGAGTTATTTTGAGTTTTTTATTAATATAATGACATGCATTATGTTGGTTGTACTAGAAAGCGTTCTTCTATTTGTATTGGGAATGTGGCGCCACCTTGTGGTATTTAATTATGTGTAATGCCAATATAATGTACACAATAGCAAATAATAGTTTTTCTAATTAAGCTGCCTGAAAAGGAAATTAAGTTTTGCTTTTTGTTTTATTTTTAGCAGCAGATCTGTACTGGTCAGTCACTCAGTTCAACTGTGATACACACAGTATGAGAATCAATAGGTTTACAAAATTCAGATATATAAATGGTAAATGGAAAAGTAATTTGAATTTTGAGCTCAGATATTGTTCTGAATACTGACAGAATTTTGCCAGCTCTGCTTTCACCTTGGCACTTTGTGTTTTGAGCAGCATTGATGCTGTGTTTCAAACACGACTGCATTTTTTTCAGTTGTCTAGGCGATGGTTCCCAAGGGATTTCTTGGAGCATGTTCAAAGTGAGGTCAAACAATCCTAGAATGGGAAAGACTCTGGATTTTTAAGTATAAGTTACTGAATAGCATGCTGAAAATTATATCCATATTATATTACAGGTATGTTAACTTATAGTTTATCAGAATATGTATAAAATCACTTATAAAGTTCTATTTTCAATGTATGCTACTTTTTAAATGTATACAAACTACTCCCTGGACTGTTTTTAGCCTAGGGGCATGCCTACTAACATTAGAGAACCCACTGATCTAAGACGATAACATGAGCAACCAACATGGTGACCTCTAAGAGAAGACTTGATGAAAATGTATATAAAACACGATCATTCTGGTGTGCTAAAATAAATTACGTATTTCCCACACTGGGATTAGCATAATTAATATTAATTACTGTTTAATTTCAATGACGTTCGATATAAAACTATTAAAACAATTTTTAAGATCAAGAGGACTGTGTTGTCAGTGGTGTCATGCGCATATCTGACCAGTAGAGGGCAACCTGTCATGCTGCTCAGCCAACACGCGGCTTCGTCTGCAGCCAATCACAGTTCTGCTACAGCCTCCTTGATAAACTTGGCTGCTGTTTTCCGCTTAGCAGCAATCTTCTTTTTCCTCGCCATTAAAAGTTGTTTCTGATCAAATAATGTGCTTCACGAAGAATCTGGGAGTGAGGGAACGACACAGAAGGAGCAGAGACGGCACAGCGCTGTGAAAACAGGAGGAGAAAAGGAAGAAGAGAAAGATGTATCTCTGGCGTTTCTCCATCGCCCTGAGCTTGGCTTTTCTCTGGTGTTTTTCAGACTGTGGCCGCACTGTCACACAGTATGTTTTATGTTTCCTCTTCTGTTTTCTTTTTCCCTGTGTTCTGGGCAACAGTGGAGAAGACCGCAGCTCTCAGACGGACGAAGAAAGCAGAGAAAACCTCCCGCAGGTGTGTATTTAGCTTAAACATGGTTCACTACTGTACCGCACATTGTACGAGTTTCCGAGTCGTGTTCAGTAAGCATTTTTAAACGTTTTACTTCTACATGTGACAAAAAATAGTGGATTCCAATGCAACAGTTATTTACGGAACATACGTTTAATCTAACACTATTGAAATGGTTTCCCAAAGTGGGGGGCGGGACCTCTTTAGGGAGTACAGAACTATTGGGGAAGTTGGAAAGGCAAAATGATTTAAATTTCAATGTTGTCTTTATCTGTGCCACAGAGTAGACATTACAGTTATCAGTTACTTAATTTCCTCTTTTCAAGGGAAGCATTTGGTAAGAATTACAGTGTTTTAAATAAATATTATCATTTAATATGACTGTCTGAAATGCAGCCCTAAATACTGTCACCCTCCTATTCTTCGTCAAACCATAGATGTATTTATCATCAGGCCTTGTCCTGAACCACCGACGTCGACTGGAATTATAACATCCCAAAGCATTTTGAAGGCTTTGGATGTTGCTCTTCAGTCTAGACAACTCTCTGTTTGATCGGCAGCGACCTGCACTTTTGGACCATTGCTGATGAAGCATATGTTCATTGAAATTATTCAGTGAAATCGTGCACCACTTGTGTATCTTACACTCAGGACACTAACCTTGCTCACTTTCCCTTTTTTATCTTTCCACTGTTTTACTTTTTCTTTAGACTTAGACACTTCATTTTCTATTCTCTATCATTGCCAGAGCAACACTCTGGGATATTTCAGATCTCATTCTCAATTACATTACCAACAGGAAAAAAGGAGCCTTTGAACACTGGCAAAAATAGACACTTATGTGTGAAGAGCTGGTTTCTTAGCCCTCTTCACAAACGTTTATACATGGACTGTGACATTTAAAACATAACACCTGCAGCCTGAAGCACCGTTGTCTTTTCAAAGCCCTCAAAGTCTTGTTCGTATACAAAACATCTCGGTGTGACCTAAAGTTCAACCGTAATTGATTCTTCAGTGTCTATGTTTTTCTTCCAATTCAAACCAGAAGTTAGGTTGTTGTTTTCTGTTTTCTAGGAAACTGTCGAGGAAGACTTGACAGATGGACCAAGTTGTGAGCAGCTCAGTGCACTGGATCCTCAGCATGAGCATGTGAAAAAGTCTCTGAGGCAAGGTCAGACATGTTTTTGTGTATTTTTGGAATAAAGTCTAGGCCAGGGCAACACATACGAAACCAGAAAGAGCAGCTCCAGGGTGTTTAACTGTTTAGACTCAACACAAATGAACTTCAGCTGCAGCTGAAGGATCATGTTACAAAGGGAGGGGCTTTGGCAAGAGAGAGAAAAGATGGAAAAACACCCACAGTTATTGTGATCTGTTGCTGAGGGAGAGCATGGATATCAGTTCATCTGAACCTCAACCATCTACAGGCGTCAGATCTGATTCCAAATAAACACTGATAAAACTTTATCTGAAAAAGTAAGAAAATCTAATATTCTTTCCATTGGGCATTCATCTGATGGCTGTTATATACAGTGAGTGTATCTGTTGACAGAGGTTCATTGTTGTTAACGTCCCACACCCTCATGTTTGTAGACAAATTTGATGCATCCATGACAAGATTTTTACCTGACTCGGCTACACCTGAGCCTGATTTAAAACGAGTTTGAAAAACGGAGCGTAGTAAAGGTTTTTGTTTTAATATCAACAGCTTTTATCAGCAGCGGTAATAAAAAAAAATTGAATAAACATTACTGAAGTAATGGAGTACGCCTCATGATGTAGCATTTACATCATGAGGTGCTTTGTGGCAGTCATAAAGGACACTGCACTGCATTTCACTTGTGTGTGTGTTTCTGTGTTAATGTTTGCAGATTTTCACCATTCAAACATATGTTTATTTAGGATTTGAGTTTTGTTAAATTATCTTGGTTGGGATAAACTATATGTCCAATGTCAGGAACAGTGTTGTTTATTTTAAGTGTCATTCAGACCTGTTTGTTCAGCAAGATAGAATGTGATGAAGCTGTGACCAAACAGCTGAGACGTTGCTTTGACTTTGCATACAGTAAAAAACAAACTTGTTATTTTATAGCCTGAGGCTACTGCCAGGCCCCAGAAGTGTTGCAGCGTTTAGGAAAAATATTTGAAATGCGTGTTTAGGTCACCTTTCTAACTTTGAAGCTAAAGGCTAGCAGCTCTGATCTCAGTGACTGTTGTTTAGTAATGATTTGCATTGCAAATCAGCACAATGCTACAATGTTTGGGGTGGAACAAAACCCCCAGGAGACCACAGAGAAAATGTTCACACAGCAGCTAACTAAGTGAACAATTTTATTCTGTTAATCACAAAAAAAAACCATTCTGGTCTCACAGCAAGAATCCGCTCAAAGGATTGGTAACATTTTATTCAACAGCATGGTAACAATTACATAATCGTTAGTGCCACAATCAGAAAATAAAAATGTCACACCAAAAATATAATCCATTTAAAGAAGCTGTGCTTTATTCAGGCAAATTGTTTCAATAAAATCTGACGGAAAATTCTGTCTGTAGCGCTCTCTTTAGTCCATAGAAACATCCTTATCTTTGTCAGTAGCTCAGTAGAATTAGCTGCAGTTCGTTACCAACGTAAAGCTGTTTCCTGTGGTGTTTGATTAACAGGAATCCCGATGTTCAGAAAAGAAAAGAATCTTTAAGGGTAAACAGATTCCTGGGACTTCCCCCAAAATGTCTCAGGGCAGAACCGGGGGAGCAGCGCCCCCTTTCAGCTTCTTCTAAATGAAACCATGTGTTGCCCATATGTACATTTCTGATCACCAGACCACCCTTTAAAATATTAACTCTCTATGATTTATGGATCTAGGCCATATTCCTGCACTGGCCTTAATGAAAAAAGGAAGCAGGGATACAGAGGAGTGGGAAGGAGATCTTTCTTGACATTTACAGTACTCTGTATTTATTCATATTGTGAAAGTACTTCAAGCTAATGTAGAGCACCACAAGCTCATTCTTTAAAACAATGAACATTTTCCAGCCGTTCTTGGCAGCTTGGGAGCATTTTATTAATTAAATCCAGAGTAAAAAGAAAAGAATTCTTTTACTACTTGCTGTTCATTAAGAAAAAACATGATTATTGCTGATTCTACTTTTGGAGCAATACTGTTGTGATGAATGGCTTTATTTTGTATATTTCTAATAAATCATAGCGATTTCTGCATTGTAATTATCTCAGTTACTTCCTTGTGGTACAAACTTTAATTCATTAAAGTCATTTTTAACTTCTTTAGCCACTTTTAGCCCAATTGATCACTGCACAGCTAATAAAATAATAATTAATCTTGAGTCTTGGCCTTGTCCCTAGAAGCTGGGTTCACTTTCTATGGTTTTGAGAAACAATGAGGTTTTGTGTGTGTCTGTGTCTGATTAGTGCAGTTACTATTTTTTTATTTGTGTCCAAAAAGTCATTTACAACAACAACAATACATGACTTTCACAGGATCCAGCGTTAGTTTGTGTAAATGTGAACTAACGTTGTGAATGCTTCACCTTTTGTCCTCAGTGTTTGAGTGCGTCTACGCCCAGCTGGTCCTGCCGTGGTACTGCGTCCCAGAGCCACGTGAGCAGCAGCCGCTCCACCAGGTTCTCGGCAGAGAGGTGGACTTTATTATCGACCGCATCGTGGAATATGGCAAAGATTTCGATATTTGCCAGGCAGTGGTTGGATCCATTCGTATTCTCACCCAGCACCTGCACAACGCAAAGATGCCCGACAGGTACGACTGTTATTTTTTGTTTGTTAAACAAATGCAGACACAAAAAGTGAAAACACTATAGGAATCCAAGGATCGTTAGAAGTACAGAAAAATATAAAGGAATAGTATAAATCAATACACCACCAAATTACAAAGGACAAATGAGAGAAACAATGTTATTTATTCATTTATTGCTAAATGAATATTTTATTCCAGCCTTCTGCTTGAATTAGCCTTTCCCACCTCCCCGTTAGGTATTTTCTCAATAATAAAAAATCCTGAAACTCTGTGACATATTTATTCTAAAGTTCTTTTTTTTAATTACACCCTTTACTGTTTTAAGTACAATTTTGGTTAAACTTCAGTTCATTTCAGTGCTGCAGACAGAGTTATGTAAGAACCAACGTCTGTAATTGAACAGAGCAATCGCTAAATGTGAGCAGAGCTGCAGGAACTCCCTGGTAAATTCAGTGCAGTGCAGTGTCTCCATGGAGCATTGTGATCTTGTCATTTTAAACTTTTAGAAATACAATTTGAGCCTTGTGTCGTGATGGTCCTTGAAGACACTCCTGCGTCTTTTGTGTCTGAATGACATAAATGTATATCTCCCTTGTTGGCAAAGAAATTCTAGTTTTAAAAATACTTCAAATATCTTGTGGAGGATTATTTTTAAATGATGAATTATAGATGTTATAGATGTCAATTTATAAACCTCTCAATATATTGATGCATCAAAAAAAAAAACCTTTATTTCTCTCAACACAAATCTCCTACATCATCTTTAGGTTCAATTGCAACTTTATATGTTTGAAAAATAAAATTCAGCCCACGTCTTCTCACTGACAAATGGCCCAGTATAACTGAGAGAAAACCAGAATAAAAACAACTCTTCAGATTCAAACATTTCCTGAACAGGTCATTCTTCTCACCAGCTCTCTCTCATTCTCGGCCATCGCTGCTCCACTTAAACCTTGACCCCAGTAATGTTTCCTAAAGTCTGTAAATTCCGCAACAGCCTTTATCAGCGATGAATAATTTACCAGGATCACACCTGTGCTGACGTCTTAATGGTTTCTCTGACGGTCAGTGCTCTTTTCAAAGAGCGATACATCAGTTAAAATTGAAGACTCCCTTCTTCAGTTATGAGGTGATAAATATCTATTATCTAGTTTAATCCTCCCTCTCCCGCAGCCTCACCCACTCCCTTTATCTCGCTCCTCTGTGTTCTCTCTCAGGGATCCTCTGTTCAACTCCACCGCAGAAGAAATCGCAGTTCTGCGAGAGTTTTCCGATGCCCTCGTACGTAACCTGTTTCCCAGATCTCTCTGGGGCCACGGAGTCAACCGCTGTGCCTTAAATGAGATAGTCGCCTTAAAGGGTGAGAACGTTTCACATTATCCCCCTTACATGGATCTGGTCTTATGTAAGCTCTAAGCCTCTCATGAGCTCCTACAAGTGTGAATATCACATAATCCCTTCTTCTCAATGAC